TATGGTACCCCCAAAAAAAACAATATTTTTTGAATAAATTTTATTAACTTTTGAGGTGCACTAATTTTATGAATTCACTTACTATTTTTTAAGTGAAACTTATCAACATTTAAAATAAAACATAATATGTTTTAAATTTTTTTTTCACTTATCGGTATTACACTGAAAGAGTTAATTATATTGTAGGTCCCCCAAAGTATGAAATTTGTCTTATTTTANTTTTTTTTTCACTTATCGGTATAATACTGAAAGAGTTAATTATATTGTAGGTCCCCCAAAGTATGAAATTTGTCTTATTTTATCCACCAATTTTTCAATTACATCATTTTAGTCACTAAAATATTATATATTTCTATGTGGCCTCTCAAACGAACAACGTTCAAATTGCTAACGATTTTTTATTATAAACTTGTCACATAATATCTAAATATAGACAAAAAAATAATTTGAATAACTCTTAATCAAATTTCTACCCAAATTTTGGTCAAAAAATTACTAAAATTATACAGTTTTGATCGTAAGCTATCTAAATTTTGNGCGAACAACGTTCAAATTGCTAACGATTTTTTATTATAAACTTGTCACGTAATATCTAAATATAGACAAAAAAATAATTTGAATAACTCTTAATCAAATTTCTACCCAAATTTTGGTCAAAAAATTACTAAAATTATACAGTTTTGATCGTAAGCTATCTAAATTTTGGTCAAGAGTTACCCATATTATAACTTTTTGGTCAAGAACTACACAAATTATTTTTTGTCCATATTTAAGTATTACGTAATAAGTTTATGATAAAAAAAACCATTAACAATTTGAACGTTATCTGTTTAAAATATCACATAGAAACATATTCATACTTTAGGAACCAAAATAATACAATTAAAATATTATAGACCAAAATAATACAATTATAATATTAAAGACCAAAATAAAATAAATTGTCTACAGATAAAATGAAATAAATGCCAGAGCATAAAGGTATGATGTCAAGGGTGTGATGCAATAAATATGTATAAAGTATATGCATAATGCAGTTGGCATTAAATATGCTAACAAGAGCAAGTTGGCAAATATATTAACTTCATTGAATCCGGTTTCCATGGGACAACTCAACAATAGTTTGAAGTTTAAAATATTGCAATCTTGGTATAGTTAAAGTGGTGTTTTCATAATTTTCCCAAAGTGTTGATATAAAATCATAAATTTGTAATTGATTTCTTTAAACCAATTTCCAAGGCAATTATTATATTTTCATCTTTGTTATGTAACCCAAATAAATCGAACATTAATTCGTGTAGTATAAATATAATAAGTAATAATTAATTTTTTTATTTTCTATAATTACATAATTCAAAATTTTAAAAAAATTGGGAGAGAGAATAATATGATAATGGGATTCATGCGGAGAATATGATTTTTTTAGCAGGAAATTTTTTTGTGGATGAATTATATATCATTGGATTAAAATAAATGAAAATTAAATTAATTTTGACTGTTGTTGTACTTTTATAAGTTGATAATTTAACTTCTTAAATGTAATATTGGATAGAATTATGCATTTTTAGTGATACCTTGTGTTACAACCTATAGACCAATCCCATAGTTTTGATATAAAAAATTACACTTGACTCCCCAATACTTTTGGATATGATGCATNTGTAATAAGTTTATGATAAAAAAAACCATTAACAATTTGAACGTTATCTGTTTAAAATATCACATAGAAACATATTCATACTTTAGGAACCAAAATAATACAATTAAAATATTATAGACCAAAATAATACAATTATAATATTAAAGACCAAANCGTAATAAGTTTATGATAAAAAAAACCATTAACAATTTGAACGTTATCTGTTTAAAAGATCACATAGAAACATATTCATACTTTAGGAACCAAAATAATACAATTAAAATATTATNTATATAAAGAATTTATTCTTTATGAATACCCTAATCTTGATTTCTCATGAATACCTTACTTGTGATATAGATGATCTACATTAGACTGAATCAGATAAAGAATTAATAAAAGTATGTTTAAACTAACCCGAACATCCTTGACTGTTGAAANATAGACCAAAATAATACAATTATAATATTAAAGACCAAAATAAAATAAATTGTCTACAGATAAAATGAAATAAATGCCAGAGCATAAAGGTATGATGTCAAGGGTGTGATGCAATAAATATGTATAAAGTATATGCATAATGCAGTTGGCATTAAATATGCTAACAAGAGCAAGTTGGCAAATATATTAACTTCATTGAATCCGGTTTCCATGGGACAACTCAACAATAGTTTGAAGTTTAAAATATTGCAATCTTGGTATAGTTAAAGTGGTGTTTTCATAATTTTCCCAAAGTGTTGATATAAAATCATAAATTTGTAATTGATTTCTTTAAACCAATTTCCAAGGCAATTATTATATTTTCATCTTTGTTATGTAACCCAAATAAATCGAACATTAATTCGTGTAGTATAAATATAATAAGTAATAATTAATTTTTTTATTTTCTATAATTACATAATTCAAAATTTTAAAAAAATTGGGAGAGAGAATAATATGATAATGGGATTCATGCGGAGAATATGATTTTTTTAGCAGGAAATTTTTTTGTGGATGAATTATATATCATTGGATTAAAATAAATGAAAATTGAATTAATTTTGACTGTTGTTGTTGTACTTTTATAAGTTGATAATTTAACTTCTTAAATGTAATATTGGATAGANACCTTTGTACTTCCTTTTTGCGTCTCATGTAATTGTCTTGTTTCTGGTTTCCATTAATCTTCTGTACCCTTCAAGCAAATTTTCATCTGGGTTTTCTGAGTTCAAATTTTATATAATTTTCTTTGATTTCAATGGCTGGGTGTTTTTTAGTTGTGATAACATTCTGTTATTTCTCTCTCTCTCTCTCTCTCTCTCTCACACACACACACACACAGATATGATGATGTTGGAATGGACATTTAAAATGCTAATATTTCTTCTTTTGATCCTACACAGGAGTNGATATAAAGAATTTATTTTTTATGAATACCCTAATCTTGATTTCTCATGAATACCTTACTTGTGATATAGATGATCTACATTAGACTGAATCGGATAAAGAATTAATAAAAGTATGTTTAAACTAACCCGAACATCCTTGACTGTTGAAAAAAAAAAATCAAACAAATTCTCACAATTTCTTTTGATATATTCCAAGTTTATGTAAACATAAACAAGCACATGTGACAAGAGTACCCAATTGTATCAAAAATATTTTGATTTAAACCTACTGAATTTATTTTGATTTGGAATCAAACCAACATATGAGGTCCCACCATCCATGAAATGAAACCACAACACAAATTTATATTTAACTACTATCAATAAAGAAAACCAGCACTGTCTTTGACCAACAGCTTACCCAATTGTCTTTGTATTTTCATTTCTGTTAAATCTCAAGTGGGTTCCACATTGCCCCCTCTGGTATCAAGTATAAGGCAGGTCAGGGTCAGACCTTGAAGGGGTTACTTTAATTCAAAAAAGCTCCAATTAGCTCCCTCAATTCATCTCATCCCATGTCCCGTGACTCATGTTTTGTTATTTTTAATTGTATTATTATAAAAAAATTTATTTAACGTATTATAAGTATCAAATATTAATATAACATGTTTATTATACGAATTTATGTTAATTTTAAAATTGTTTCATGTTGGATAACTCCAATCCAACCACTTTTGCCTTACAAAATTGGATCATTAATGTGCCAATTCCATGTCCAAGTTCATATGCAACCCAACCCAAGAAAAAATCAATGAAAGACCACATTAAAGTATTGCACAGAAAATTTGTTTTTTTGTTCTGTCACACCAACGAAGACTTGTTCTTTTGTTTTTCCTTACACAAAAAACGAACAAATTTCCAAACAGAGAGATGTGAATATGATAGGACTAGAATAGTTTAAGGGAACTCAATTCAAAGTAGGACCCAACCAGTTTTGGGTGCATCTAGGAGCAGCCAAGCAGGCACCCATGAACAGTTCACATTGTTAGCACGCAGAGAGAGGGGGAGAGATCCATAGTCCACATTGTTACCAAATCAGAGAAAGATAGAGAAATGTTAGCAGAAGAGAAGGGAAAGAAATTAATGTGAAGTCTGTCTCTTCCCAACCGCGTTGAAACTCTTGTGGAAGTCCAAGTAGTTGAACAGATTCAGGAGGAGGAAATAATAAGGTGAAAACTCATTCTCTAATCCTCTTAGTTTCATCTCTCTCTGTTCTTGATTAAATTCGTGGTTCAGGTATATACTCTGTCTCTGTCTCTCTCTATCTCAGAGGAACCTATGTTTTGCTTGTTCTTCTCGATTTACTTGATTTTCTTTCGTTTTCCCTTGTTTCAGCGTTTGGGTGATCCTTTCTCTCATTGAATTTTCATTTTCTCCTGTTATTCTCATCCGGGTACCACTGTTTCAAACTCAATTCTCATGTGGGTTTGGATAATTCTGTCACCCTTCTCCTTCCTTTTTCACATCCTATAATTCTCTCTCTCTCTCTCTCTCTGCTTTTGGTGTCCTTTCGTTCAACAAATTTTTTCCTCTGGGTTTTTTTTTTTAATTCTAATATTTTTGTACGATTCTGAGGTTTTGAGGGTTTTGTCACCTTTGTACTTCCTTTTTGCGTCTCATGTAATTGTCTTGTTTCTGGTTTCCATTAATCTTCTGTACCCTTCAAGCAAATTTTCATCTGGGTTTTCTGAGTTCAAATTTTATATAATTTTCTTTGATTTAAATGGCTGGGTGTTTTTTAGTTGTGATAACATTCTGTTATTTCTCTCTCTCTCTCTCTCTCTCTCTCACACACACACACACACAGATATGATGATGTTGGAATGGACATTTAAAATGCTAATATTTCTTCTTTTGATCCTACACAGGAGTTCAGTGGTGGTTCTGGATTTCAAAACTGAATCCTGAAAACTCTTTTCTATATTGTGAAAGAAATGAAGTGTTTTCATTACTTCAAGGATAGAACAAAGACCAGGGAACAAAGATCAGCACCAATACTGAAAAACCAAAGCAAATCAGACATTTCGGAAACTGAGAGGGTGACAAAGTCTTCATGTTCAGCTCCTTCAACCCGCAGTATCCCCGAATTGTATGAAGAGAAGGCTCAGAACTTGAGAGTCTTTACATTCTCGGAGCTTAGGCAGGCCACCAATGGCTTCAGTAGGCTTTTGAAGATTGGAGAAGGAGGATTTGGAAGTGTATATAAAGGTACTATCAAGCCTGTTGCTGGAAAGGGTGACCCTATTGTGGTTGCCATTAAAAAGCTCAACAAAGATGGTTTTCAGGTATTGGCCTTGAATCTGATTGCATAAATTGTTTGTTGGACATAAATTAGTTGTTGGTTAGGGTGAGAGAAGGAGGCATCGTATCGAAAATTACAACTGTTTCTTTTAGGGTGGGTTTTATTTTCTTTTGGGTCAAGTTAGATTACTACAAGCAAAGCTAAAATTGATCCTGAATTGTTAAGATTTATTTCTAACAATTTCATTCTATTGTAGTCTCACTGGATTTGAGCTATAATCTCTTCTGTACTTTGTAATAACTTCGACATTGTACCAAAAAATAACTTTTTGGTACCGTAGTCTTATGTTGTTGATTAATTAATAAAGAATTCGTATAAAGAGTACTTGTACTATTATGCATAGAAATTATGCTAAATGAAGTTTAACATTGCCAAGCATCTATGGAAATCTGGATTTGAAATTAGTACAATATAAGGTCTCCTTTTATGCTTCTACTTGTGTGGAACCCTGGTGTACCCTAATGTATTGTATCAAAGCTTGTGGCCAGAAATAATGGTTTTGAAGAAATCAATTTAACACAAACTGCAGACACGCATCAAATGCTGCCTACTTGTGTTTGAAACATGTGCTATTTCCTAGTTGAACTGATGTTATAAGAGAAATTGTCAAATTTTTTTGACATGGCATTTTTTACAAGACGAAGAAAAATGACGTGACTCATTGACAGTTCTATTTAAGTTGTTCCATTCTTTTGAAATTTCCGAGTGCCTCTTGTGATTATGTGTTTTTTATACAGGGTCATAAACAATGGTTGGCGGAGGTACAATTTCTTGGTGTTGTGGAGCACCCAAATCTTGTCAAACTTATAGGATACTGTGCTGTGGATGGAGAAAGAGGAATCCAGCGGCTACTTGTGTACGAATTTGTGCCGAATAAAAGCCTGGAAGATCATCTTTTCAACAAGGCATACCCAGCTCTTCCTTGGCAAAGAAGATTACAGATAGTGCTTGGAGCAGCTCAAGGATTGGCTTATTTGCACGAAGAACTAGAAGTACAGGTTTGGACTTTACCTTAGAGTGTCAATTATGCTAATGTTCTACATTTCATGTTGGCAACATAATACAAATGGGACATTTGATCACCACATAAAAATAAAAAGACCCCTTTACCAATTGATGCAAAGGACAACCCTAAATACATTGACATACGTGCAAGGCATACAAGTAGGCTAAACTTAATGTTGAACGAGATAGTAAAAAAAATCTATGATACCATGTGGTTAACAGAATTTATGACCCTTGTCCCTTGACAGATCATAATTACGGTAAAGGGCTTCAAGGACGTTGACCACATTTAGCCATACACAAACTCTCCCTCTTTTGCACACAAATTGAGACACATATCTCATTGGGTGTCATGGGGGGAATGCTGCCATTGTTCTACACGGACTACTTGTGTCTCCTAGAACTCAAGAGTAACTTTTTATTGCTATTGAGACTGCCTAAAATCCTCAGTTGCACTCATTTGTTATGAGTAGCTCTTCTAGATGATTCTAAACATAGTTGAGTTTCTAAGATTTATTCGTGGAAGATACTCTATTAATTTTTACCATCAATCTGATGTTTATTGGGACCAGTAAGAAAAGGCTCTGTCTCTGGTCTATACAACGTTCTTTACTGTATATATATATATATATATATATATGGATGCAATTGGAAATGATATTCATTATCAAATATTTATGATCATGAAGTGAGATGAAAATATAGATTTGTCTCAGAACACCGGTGGCAGAAGGTTCTTTGACTGATTACTTGGTTGTTATATAATTGGTCAGTGAACCTTTGAGCTACTGACAGCTCTCAAATAATTAAAACTTGTTGAAGCTGGAAAATATTCATATGTCATGAGAGTAACAAGGTCTGACAGCACTTTGATGTTTGAGTTGTCAGAGTGGTAACATTGGCTATCATTCACCTATTATACTGTTGTGATTAATGTTGCATCCATTTTTTTCCTTGTTTGAAACTGAAAGAGAAGTTCAGGTAGATTTTGGTAAGTTCGAAATGTTATCATAGTTATTAAAAGTTAATGAAATTTCGACCTTTATAACAGCAATTATTTTTGTGGATAATATCTTTACTGTCTACACTTATGATGGATTAATCATGAGGATTATAGTCAACCCACCAGAAAAAGGAGGTTGTTCATCAGTAATGGTGATGTCGGATGTTTAAACCATGGTCATGTCTTTTCACCAAAATTTTGCAAACTCCTGTATATTCGAGCTAACCTGTATTGCTTATATTAATATGTAGGTGATATACCGAGATTTTAAGTCATCGAATGTGCTATTGGATGAGGATTTCAATCCAAAGCTTTCAGACTTTGGGCTTGCCAGGGAAGGGCCAACAGATGGGAATACTCACGTTTCCACAGCTGTAAGTATGGTTATTGTTTTTAGGTAGCATTTCAGATTACATGAGGGTGAAAAACTTTGTGCCTCGTAGCCATTGACAGAACCACATTGAGACCAAGTGCAAAGGGGACCATGGTCCCCATCAACTTTTTGAAAATACACTATAACCCCCTCTGGATTTTCAAAAACTAGGTCTTCTCCTAGGTTTTTAACAATATTTATATATGTACAGTGTATTCAATGTACCTAATAACAAAATGGGAGATATTAATCACACACGAATTAGTGTTTTTTTTTATAGACAAAGAATACACTTTGGGATGAAACTCACGACCGAAAGGGGGAAAAAAAAAGAAGGAAAGTTATTTTTGCTTAAATATGTGATATATTATATTTACACATCGAGTCATAATTAATTTTTGAGATTATGTCAAGTGAAACTAATATTTACGATGATAATTTATTCGGAGTCAACACTACGATAAATTAAATTTTATGATAAGCAAGAATCAACTTTTAGATTTAGGTTTTATGACCCAAACTAATTTTTCCTTTGATGTTATATAAAAGTTAATTTTATAGGTTTATACAACTAAAAATTTGACATTGCTGATAACTTGTTCAATGATTCCATCGCAAATAAAATTTTTAACTGTGCCACTATTTTTATTTGTCCCCCCCCCTCGCCATAAACTCCTGGTTTCATTCCTGGACTCATAACACATATTAGACTTTACAAGTGGTATGACAACCTCAGGCCCGGTCGATATCTAGCCAGAGAAACAGATGCAAAAAGGCTTAGGCAAGCACTTGGGTAAGTGGACCAAGAAAGCAAATCAAACTATAATGCCTTTTGTCTTAAATTGTCTTCGTCTTTCTTTCTAGTAAGTGAGAGTGGTTGAACCTACACCACCCTTTCTCCTTTCACCAAAGAAAAAGACTGATAATAGAGTGAAAGACAGCAAAAAAAAAAAAGTAAAGTGAAGTATAGCCGGTCGAGTACCACAAAATCATTTATTTCTACAATTTTTCTTTAATTCTGAAGATTAAGATCAATCTGTATTTTATCATATTGTTCCACAGATATATGGTACTGTGAGAGGAATCAGGTTGCATACATGCCTTTTTTTTTTTTTTTTTTAGGGTGAATGACCATGAGACTTGCTTCCTGTCACTAGGTCATGGGGACTTATGGGTATGCTGCCCCAGATTACATCGAAACAGGGCATCTCACAGATAAGAGCGATGTGTGGAGTTTTGGTGTGGTATTGTACGAGCTCTTAACAGGCAGGCGGTCATTAGAACAAAACAGACCCAGATCAGAACAAAAACTTTTGGATTGGGTGAAACAGTTTCCTGCCGATAGCAAGAAATTTGGCCAGATAATGGACCCTAGGCTCGAAAAACAGTACACTTTTAGTGCAGCTCAAAGAATTGCCAAATTAGCTAACAGTTGTTTGTTGAAGAGAGCAAAGGATCGGCCAAAAATGAGTCATGTGGTGGAAACTTTGAAGCAGATCATGGAAGTTTCGGGTGGGGAGGGCCCTTCCAACAGTAGTTTTGAGCTTGTGGAAGATGACCCTATTGACTCAAGTGAGATACCAAACCAAATAGGGACCTCAGAATCAGCAAAAAGAAGGATGGCACACTTAGCTCAACTAGGTGAACATGTTGGTGGACTGGGTAGAAGAGTATTCATGATAACGCAGAGGGCCGAAGTGCCTTAAAATTGTTGACACTGAGAAATTGGGTTTTGTTTCTTTTTTCCTGTGTATCAATGCAAGGAGGTACCGTACTGGAAGTTGCAAGTAAATACGGATTGGGATTGGTTGCAATTATATGAGTCTAAGTTACGACAAGAAAAACTTAGGGTCAATACTGAATGTTAGAATTGATCTGAAGCAATTCTTTTTGGTCGTAACATTAGGTGAAATTGTCATCTCATCGTTGTTTTGTAGTAACTTCAGTATGACACCAAAAAGAAACTATCTCATAGTCAAATANACTGAAGCAATTCTTTTTGGTCGTAACATTAGGTGAAATTGTCATCTCATTGTTGTTTTGTAGTAACTTCAGTATGACACCAAAAAGAAACTATCTCATAGTCAAATACGAGAGAGATGATGTTGTGTTGTTCTATCTTTTCTCCTCCAAATTTTAACTATTTCTTTATAGGGTTTTGTATCCAAATTGGTATAGAGGCATTTTATTTTTCCATTTTAGTTGTTTGGATTGTTAAGATTATTTTAGAGATGTAAATCAATTGAATCTGTGTAAATTTGCCCTTGCTGATTTCTGATAGTNCCCAAATTTAAACTATTTCTTTATAGGGTTTTGTATCCAAATTGGTATAGAGGCATTTTATTTTGCCATTTTAGTTGTTTGGATTGTTAAGATTATTTTAGAGATGTAAATCAATTGAATCTGTGTAAATTTGCCCTTGCTGATTTCTGATAGTAAATGCATACAGAAAAATTGATTCTATATTTACAACTTGGCATTTTGAACTGCAAATGAAAAAGGCCAAATTGACAAGATAGTCAGTGTACAAAATGGAGAAGAAAGGAGCTAATAATATTCCAGCGTGCAAAATGGACAAGATAGTCCAGTTTGATTTGCAACCTTTCCTTACCAGGAACAAATAGTATTCTAATATTGCAACCTATTTGCAATGCCACATATCACAATATAATTGTGTCCCTTTTCTATGGTACCCTCTTTCTGGCTTGTCTTCACCCTTATTGTTCATGTCAACTTCTACGTATCTCGACTAATCTTCTCCTCAATCTAGTCAAAGACTGACCATCCACGCTGAGACTAAGATATTTACGAAGAATTTATCCTTAATTAGCAAGATTTTAACTCGGGACGTCTGGATTTGCAATAGATATGTTATTCTAGAATTCTAATCCTTAATTATTTGAAAACAAGGCCATACCATTACACCATTTGAGACTTGATTCATTCTCCCAAATCATTGAACCATTTAGAAAACCACCTTTCACATCCAATACAGTGAAAACATTTGAGGCAATATAATCAATCAAGATGCTCTTGCCACTGGTGACATCTCAATGGTCCTCCCTGGTTTCGCCATCAACCACCACATGCTCATCACCAGCAATTATCATCGATCCAGCCACTGCCATTAAAAAAAAAAAAATCCCTATTCAGATTAGCAACATTCCTGTATTTGTTTGGTGATGAACATACACATTTTCAACTCAAAACTATGATACAACTATTCATAAACCCCATTTGATACACAAATCTATCCTAATTGTACAGAATGTCAATCAATTCTCTCTCTCTCTCTCTCTCTCATTGTATCGAAGGTTATCCACGTTTGTGCTTTTTTTTTTTCCAGGCTGCTTCTCATTCTTTTTTATTAACTGATTTGACAAATTCTGNAATCGAAAGTTATCCACGTTTGTGCTTTTTTTTTTCCAGGCTGCTTCTCATTCTTTTTTATTAACTGATTTGACAAATTCTGTCAGGATATAGGAGAAAAAGGATTGTGAGGGACAGAAGGGGAAAAAAAGCCTCCAAGGGTATGTGGAAATCATGTCATGCAAAAATGCAGTATCAAGCAAACAGTTTTCCTATTTTGCACCAAGTATATACCTCCTGTAAATTTCAAAGACATAAGAAAGTTCTTCAATGAGCCGTTGATCTATCTTTCAGCAGTTAAGAGGATCTTCCAATCAGGAGAAAGAAAACACACCTCTGGGAGTCGATCTTTTAGGATGGCAAGAAAGATCATGTTCAAAAATCAACACCCATAAATTTTGCTTCTGTAGATCCGGCGATAGAAATTTTCTCTACTTTAGCAATGTCAGCCACCATCTCCTGGGAAATATGAGGGTGAATACATTATGAGTCTGCCATAGGTTCAATCCTAATTATGGATACATCACACTGAAAGCATCAGCAATAACAAATTATAAGCAAGAGTTTAGCTGAGTATGACAAACCGTCACTGTTAAAGGAACTATAATCTAAATCAAGAACACAAAATATGATTATACGATTGTTCAACTTAAATTCCAGCCAATTTAACATTTGATTAAATTTCAGCGAACTTTACCAGAGATCGATGGATGCCAGATTAAGCTTAATGAATCTGTAGACCAGTGCTCCATCATTTCAGCATGAAGTCCGACAACTCAATCTGTGAAATGTCTCCAGGAGGTGAATCAAACTCAGCTTCTGATGGGGCCAAATCTAATAATCATGCCTCCACCTTCAGTTCTGACTTCTCATCCAGCAAGACACTTTCTGCTACTTCTCAACAAGGATGTTCTTTGTTTTCATTTCAGAAATTCCAAAGATGAAATGCTATGCACATATCCTGTTTGGGATCTTGCATGACCTCCCAGATTCATTGTCAATCAGTTTAAAAGAATGTTGACTTATTTCACTGTAAAACCTATTTCTGTATAAATAATCATAAGTAATATACATGAGAAAGTCAATAAAGAGGCTCTTTCCAGACATTCCCTTTGAATGTTCAGCATCTTCTTGTACCTCACGATATGCTCTGTCCAGTATTTTGTAAGTTATTTCATCAAAGTTGAAGCAAATCTGACCCAACTTCTGGCCCCACATAAGGGTCCTCTCAGGTAGCCCTTGCTTACAAAGATGAGACAATAACAGGTTAGTTGTCACAATATTTGGAACAAAGGCCATCTTAAGCAATTTTGCAGTCAAAATCATAGCACGATCTAGTATATCAGTGCATATGCCATTCATCATAGAATTGTATGTAACTGTATTAGGAACTACCCCCACCGAGACAAGCTCATCCAACATCATCACAGCTCGATTCATCCTCCGATTACTACAAAAACCATGGATTTGTATATTATAGGTTGTAATATCTGGGTCCCACCCACTGGCATACATCTTATTCACAAAATTTTCAGCATTTTCCATGTCAAATGCCTTACAGTACCCACTGATTAGAGTGTTGTAAGTAACAATATCTGGTAACAACCCAGTTCTGTGCATTTCCATAAAAGTATCAATTGCTGACTTCATTCTTCCAAGTTTACAAAACCCATTAATAATAATATTGGTAGTGAAGACATCTGGGAGGAGACCCCTGTTCCTCATCTCCCTCTCCAACTTCAATGCTTCATTCAATTTTCCACAGTTACAAAACCCTGCAATCAAAGAATTATAAGCAAAGTTATTCGGCACTAGTCCTTTCCTTGACATTTCTAAAAAGACATTATATGCCTCCTCAATAAAACCGGCTTTAGAAAGCCCATCAATGAAGGCAGAAAAAGCAACAACATCAGGAGCAATCCCTAATCTGTTCATCTCTTTCCACAAACCTTGAGCTCCGACCATGTCTCCTGTTTTGAAATACATATCTAAAAGCACAGTGAAAGCCACTTTATTGACAGGAAAGTCCTTCTCTATCATCTGATCCATAAGATCTTTGGCTTCTTGAAGCCTCCCTATTTTGGCCAAACCCATGACCAAGGAAGTGCAAGTGGAAGATGAAGGTGTTAGGCCAACTTGCACCATTACGTTGTAGACTCCAAAGGCTCTGTCTTCTAACCCTGCTTTGCTGTAAGCAGCAATTATTGAATTAAAAGCGATTACACTAAGAGGAAACCCCTTGTCAAGCATATCCTCTAATAACTCCCAGGCCTCATCCAATCGTCCAGCCCAACACAATCCTGCAACTGATATGTCCGACAATGAACAATCTGGAAGTAATCCCGTCATAGATAACTCCCTTAACAACCTGTCACCATCCTCTTCCCTCCCATACTTGTAGTGCCCTGCAACCAGAATGTTAAAAGTTACACCATCAGGAGCTACACCCTTGCTCCTCATTTCTTCATAAAGCAAATTTGCCAGGCCAATTTCACTAGCCTTAACATAGCCATCCATCANCGTCATAGATAACTCCCTTAACAACCTGTCACCATCCTCTTCCCTCCCATACTTGTAGTGCCCTGCAACCAGAATGTTAAAAGTTACACCATCAGGAGCTACACCCTTGCTCCTCATTTCTTCATAAAGCAAATTTGCCAGGCCAATTTCACTAGCCTTAACATAGCCATCCATCAAAGCATTATATATTACAGTGNCCCAACACAATCCTGCAACTGATATGTCCGACAATGAACAATCTGGAAGTAATCCTGTCATAGATAACTCCCTTAACAACCTGTCACCATCCTCTTCCCTCCCATACTTGTAGTGCCCTGCAACCAAAATGTTAAAAGTTATACCATCAGGAGCTACACCCTTGCTCCTCATTTCTTCATAAAGCAAATTTGCCGGNTTCTCTATCATCTGATCCATAAGATCTTTGGCTTCTTGAAGCCTCCCTATTTTGGCCAAACCCATGACCAAGGAAGTGCAAGTGGAAGATGAAGGTGTTAGGCCAACTTGCACCATTACGTTGTAGACTCCAAAGGCTCTGTCTTCTAACCCTGCTTTGCTGTAAGCAGCAATTATTGAATTAAAAGCGATTACACTAAGAGGAAACCCCTTGTCAAGCATATCCTCTAATAACTCCCAGGCCTCATCCAATCGTCCAGCCCAACACAATCCTGCAACTGATATGTCCGACAATGAACAATCTGGAAGTAATCCTGTCATAGATAACTCCCTTAACAACCTGTCACCATCCTCTTCCCTCCCATACTTGTAGTGCCCTGCAACCAAAATGTTAAAAGTTATACCATCAGGAGCTACACCCTTGCTCCTCATTTCTTCATAAAGCAAATTTGCCGGGCCAATTTCACTAGCCTTAACATAGCCATCCATCAAAGCATTATATATTACAGTGTTTGGAAAGACACCCAACTCTTGCAGCCCATCAAACACCTTCCTCGCTTCCACAATGTTTCCTTCCTTGCACAAGGCATTAATAACTGTACTAAATGTAACAGTGCTCGGATTGCAACTCCTTTCAACCATCAAATGCAACCGAGTCAATGCCTTTGACGTTTGGCCCCTAATGCAGTATGCATTGATCAAAATGTTATACGTAATAACATCTGGCTCACACCCAAACTTCCTCATCACATGTAGTAAACTTTCTCCAGTTTGAACATACCCCTTTTTACAAAATCCAAGAATCATGACATTGAAAATATAATTTGAAGGACGAGGTCCTCTACAAACCATATCCCTAAGTAACTTCCACACACTACCATAATCACCAACCTTAAGCAAAAACTTGAAAAGAATCGCGACTGCAGACAAACTAGGTCTCACTCCAACCTCCCTCATTCTCCGCAATACCTCCAATGCCCTCGAACCCATTTCCACATTCAGGAAAGCTCGCATAAGCGAATTAAGAACTGAGAAATCCGTCTCATACTCATGGTGCTCTCTCCACATAAACTCCAGCAAATCCCCACTTCTGCACAACCCAATTCTCCCAATTACTAGCGTGAGCACATCTTGAGCCAAAAACCTCAAATCCTCAGCGGCCAAAAGATGTGCGACAACACAACAAGACTGAACCGTCCCTTCTGAATCATCCCGAAACACAACCTTGAAAAATGAAAACGCAATTGCCCGGTCTCCAAATAATCTCATTATCTTTACAAGAAAATATGGACAAAAGTTCTGAGAAAAGGCCTTTAACACATACCCTTTTTGTTGCTTGATCATTTTCGATAACCCGACAACGACTTTACGCCTCTGATTTGAATTAATTACAACGTCTGGAAAACTGGGTAAATTTCGAAAAGGGGAAAATTGTTCAAGAAAATCTAAACTTCGATAAACAGATGATGAATATGATGAACTACTAGTACAAGAACTACAACAACAGTGTCTGGATACAAAATTTAACCTTTTGTGGGGAAGAGATAGAAGAAAGGAAAGTAGGGTTTGTGGATAGAGTGAAGTGTGTGGGGGTGTGAAAGATAAGAACGGTTGGGACGAGTGGCACACCTTGAAAGTGCGGCGAACCGTAGCAGTCATCCGGCGGTCACCTGGTTGTCGTCGTCAGAGACGAGTTTCCAGCGAGCGGCGGAGTTCGGTTTGACCGTTGGAGGTTTTGGCTAAGGAGATAAGCCCGTGGTGCAGAAGCTGACCACTTTTTGAAATGTGAGATGGGCCGAGTGAAAATGGGCTATCTTAAATTTGAGTTTTATCCCTTGTTGTTAAAAAGATGTGAAAATTGAGGGTTTTAATGACTTGAGTCGTGGAAGGAAATTTCTTTAGTATTAAGTTCATGTTTAAACTTATATATAGATACTTAAGTCTATTTATTTTTTAAATTTTAAAATTATTCTTAACGGTGTTAATTTTGTCTAATTATAAAAAGTTACATAGGTTAGATTATTAATGTATATATGTAAGTCCATGATTGAGTTATATATGAAAAAAATTTATGAAATATTATAATAATTAACCGAGTTTTATATGGAAGTTATATATGAGAAGTTTGAATTATTGGTCTATTAAGTCAAAATCAGATCACAAAATTTTCTTAACAAGAGTAATGCATAATATAGGGAGGTTAAACAATACCAACAGAGTTCAGTAACACAAATGTTAATATATATAGTAACATTCATGTTACTATATGATTGAAGTTGCAATTAGAGTCGTGTTACTATACTGACACTAATATTATTATAGTGAATTTTAACATACAATTGCAAACATTGAGACGTATATTATGTAACAAACACTTTAATATTTACAGTAACATCAAATCTTTGTGCTCAATAATACATCGAATTTTATAAAATATAAGACAATAATTTTTTTTACAGTAACATCAATTTTTGAATGATTTTAGTGAATATACGATCAACAAATTAAAAATTTACAAATGACGAATAGTAACATACAATAGACAATTGAATTACTACATTCAATACTAATTATGAACATCATCGAAATTCTGAACTCTATTTTTCGATTCACGTATAATAACATGAACTTTTTCCACAGTAACACAATCAAAAAATATTCGATTGTCTTGCACAACGAAAAAAATCAACAAAATCAAAATCATAACACTTTAATTTAGTACTAATGCATGAATTCTTTTGAATCTTGATTACAAAGTTAATGTCCATTTTGACAGAATTAAATATCTAATTGTTATTACTTTTTTACTATGTTACTATTTTTTTGTGAACATGTTATTATTTTTTTAGTGACCATGTTATTGTCTTTATTGAGTACGTTACTATTGTTAATTTTTAAAGATTAATAATTTGTCGATAATCTCTCATGGAAAAAGCCGGCGCCAAGAAGAAGGGGAGAGGGGACCGGAATATCTCGTTTCGGGAAATTCTGGTCGGCCTTCCAAGTGCAGCCAGACAATAAAATTTGTTCAAAAATGATTTAACATTCCACAGTAAACACAAAATAAAAAAGTCCTCAAATGTGTTTTTGTTTGTAACACAATTCAACTGCCAACGAGGCATGTCTATGGAAGAGAAAACAGTGAGAATTATTGAATCACAGAGAACTGCAGATATGCCACAAAGTCACAGACTAGCCTGATAGAGCAGAATTGAGAGCACTGTGCACATCCACTCCAATTTGAGCTTCGGCTTTTTCCAAATCAGATGAGGCTGAGCTCAGCTTCTGGGTGAACTCTGTAAGGCCCTTTTGCACCAAGGCAGGGTCAATTTGTTCAATTGGAACAGCTTTGACAGCAATTATATCAGCAAAAGAGTTTGCATGGATGAATGCAAATCCACTGCTAACAAAATATTTTTTTACATCATTCCCATCATGAACGGACAGGAGCCCAGGTTTGAGCTCTGCAATGGTTGGTACATGCCCAGGAAGAATACCCATCTGGCCTGTTGTTGCTGGAACTATGACCATATCAACCTGTAGGACAAGCCAACAAAAAGCAAGACAGATAATCAACATGCAACCTCTTACATATTGCCCCAAAGAGACTGTAAAAGATATAACCTAACAAGATTTTAAAACAGTTTTGACCATGCATCTCTTTTGTTGCAAAATGTTTATGTTTTCCTACTATCAGAAGCATTACAATAAATATTTTGATTGCATCCTTGCAATTTAATAGATATACAGATTGAAGAAATAAAGTGTGACAGTGATCTATGCACACCTCAAAAACCCAAATTTAATAAAGTTTCAATGCTCATAATCTAAGAAATCAATCTGGTTGCCATTCTATTTATACTGGGAGGACAAATGTCAATTCTACTTCCAAATACAACCGAATCATACAAGATCGACACTATCATATCATTTTCTGGCTCCATATATAGTTCAGGCACAACACATTTGCACCCAACATTTGAACATTTGTATGTGCAGTAAATATGTAACAATTGTGGCAGGAAAGCAGCCTTTGGGGGGTAGTAGAAAAAAGCATTCAATGACAACAACTTCATTGACAGAACAAGTGCAAGATACCTAATTGGTTCTTATAGCAATTCAATGTATTGTAAGATGATACCCTAAGGCATCTTATCAAGGAGGAAGAAAATAGGTTCGCAGCCAAACCAAAGGGATAAGATGATCCAGCTGCTTAACAAGAGATGTACCCATATAAAGATCCAGCCCAAACAAAAGGCTAATAACTGCATTGTTGATGCAATCCAGCACAGAACGAGAAATCCAGAAATAGACACCCAACCAACAAACAAACGCATACTACTTCAAAGTAAGCATTTACCTCAAACTTGCTACAGGTCATACAAGAATGTTCTCATAGAGAAGACACTCAAAAGGTTCGGAATCAGTCATTGGAACTATCCACTAAGAAAGGTGATTAGCTAAGCAACCTTCGCCAAACTCTTGAAGGTTCATAAAAGACTAAAAGTCATATAATGAGTCGTCTATTGTTCCTCTTTCCATATAAACAACCCACCTCAGCAGCACCTTCTTAATTGATGTCATTGGACTCATCACGGCCACTGGAAATACTTCTACTAGAAGCATCAAGAATGACAAGTAACCACTCAAGTCAACTTTAGAACACTATCGATTACCTTCAGGCAAGATTGGGCAGTTAAGTGTTAAACAAACCAAGTTGCTTGATCTCGGCCCAGGCTCAATTTGGTTTTGGCTCATTCAAACTTGTTCATAAGAGAAAACTCTTATCACCTTTGTCCATCAACAGTCTTGGGGTCCAAAGGAATGGCAGCGGTGATGGGATCATAGTATAATGAATTTGAGCTTCTTCACCAAAATTTTGGGGAAAGTTTTATTCCTTACACTAGCTGCCACTTCAGATTATTGGTACCAAATATTAATGGGCAACATATGCGGAAGTCAGGACATTAAGGCATGATGGGGCCATGGAATGAAGGATCGAAACCCAGTAACCCCTCTGCAGCAAATAATAATAGAGACATAACCAAAGTGCTGTAACTAATTCTCACACCAAAGTCAAGTTTCATACAATACTCCCATAATGCAGCATCAAAATTTAGGGAAAGAAGGAAGACGAAAATAAGAACTAAGAAGAAGAGCTTCAACCTCATAGCCAATTGGCAACTACTAATTCAAACAAAACAAATTGAAATCATATAATAATAATCTACAAAAAGTCAGCAAAACTCATACTTATCGGCACCAAAGTGAACCAATCAATCACATCAACAGTAAAATTACCGAGTCCAGATGAAACAACGTTGAAATCTATACAACATTGGGGGTCAAACCCAAAAAAGCGATGAGATCCCAAATGAATATGAAAATTTAGCATTACAAAAATAAGAACGATGAAATAGCAAATCCACATTGGGGGTCAAACCCAAAAAAGCGATGAGACCCCAAATGAATATGAAAATTTAGCATTACAAAAATAAGAACGATGAAATAGCAAATCCACATTGGGGGTCAAACCCAAAAAAGCGATGAGACCCCAAATGAATATGAAAATTTAGCATTACAAAAATAAGAACGATGAAATAGCAAATCCACATTGGGGGTCAAACCCAAAAAAGCGATGAGACCCCAAATGAATATGAAAATTTAGCATTACAAAAATAAGAACGATGAAATAGCAAATCCACATTGGGGGTCAAACCCAAAAAAGCGATGAGACCCCAAATGAATATGAAAATTTAGCATTACAAAAATAAGAACGATGAAATAGCAAATCCACATTGGGGGTCAAACCCAAAAAAGCGATGAGACCCCAAATGAATATGAAAATTTAGCATTACAAAAATAAGAACGATGAAATAGCAAATCCACATTGGGGGTCAAACCCAAAAAAGCGATGAGACCCCAAATGAATATGAAAATTTAGCATTACAAAAATAAGAACGATGAAATAGCAAATCCACATTGGGGGTCAAACCCAAAAAAGCGATGAGACCCCAAATGAATATGAAAATTTAGCATTACAAAAATAAGAACGATGAAATAGCAAATCCACATTGGGGGTCAAACCCAAAAAAGCGATGAGACCCCAAATGAATATGAAAATTTAGCATTACAAAAATAAGAACGATGAAATAGCAAATCCACATTGGGGGTCAAACCCAAAAAAGCGATGAGACCCCAAATGAATATGAAAATTTAGCATTACAAAAATAAGAACGATGAAATAGCAAATCCACATTGGGGGTCAAACCCAAAAAAGCGATGAGACCCCAAATGAATATGAAAATTTAGCATTACAAAAATAAGAACGATGAAATAGCAAATCCACATTGGGGGTCAAACCCAAAAAAGCGATGAGACCCCAAATGAATATGAAAATTTAGCATTACAAAAATAAGAACGATGAAATAGCAAATCCACATTGGGGGTCAAACCCAAAAAAGCGATGAGACCCCAAATGAATATGAAAATTTAGCATTACAAAAATAAGAACGATGAAATAGCAAATCCACATTGGGGGTCAAACCCAAAAAAGCGATGAGACCCCAAATGAATATGAAAATTTAGCATTACAAAAATAAGAACGATGAAATAGCAAATCCACATTGGGGGTCAAACCCAAAAAAGCGATGAGACCCCAAATGAATATGAAAATTTAGCATTACAAAAATAAGAACGATGAAATAGCAAATCCACATTGGGGGTCAAACCCAAAAAAGCGATGAGACCCCAAATGAATATGAAAATTTAGCATTACAAAAATAAGAACGATGAAATAGCAAATCCACATTGGGGGTCAAACCCAAAAAAGCGATGAGACCCCAAATGAATATGAAAATTTAGCATTACAAAAATAAGAACGATGAAATAGCAAATCCACATTGGGGGTCAAACCCAAAAAAGCGATGAGACCCCAAATGAATATGAAAATTTAGCATTACAAAAATAAGAACGATGAAATAGCAAATCCACATTGGGGGTCAAACCCAAAAAAGCGATGAGATCCCAAATGAATATGAAAATTTAGCATTACAAAAATAAGAACGATGAAATAGCAAATCCACATTGGGGGTCAAACCCAAAAAAGCGATGAGACCCCAAATGAATATGAAAATTTAGCATTACAAAAATAAGAACGATGATATAGCAAATCCAAACAAAACCTGCGTAACACAAGATCTAAAATGAGCAATCCAAACATTACCAGAGGAAATACCACCATAATCACACAAAATATGGAAAGAACAAACATAAATTTTGAGCAAAACTAAATGACTAAACAGAACCCTGACAAAATACTATAAAATTTTCAATAAACTGCCAAAAGGGTTTGTTCATTTTTGAGAGTAAAGTAGTCTGACCTCTTTGGCGGAGAGCTCAGAGGAGTAGGGAAGAACAAAATTGACAGTAAGCTTAGAGGGGATCGAGGAAGGAGTCGCAGGGCGGGGAACCATGAAGGCGAGAGGGGTCTTGGGTGGCTCCATGTTGGGCATCGCCTTCTTCCATGCACCCACGAAGGCCTCATCGGCCGCCGGAAACGTCGGAAGGTCGGTGGAGAATGGGCTAGCTTTGGTCCTGCCGGCGGCGGCGGTCGTGGATCGGTATAGGAGGCGAGTGGTGGCTTGCCGGAACATGGTTGGTGGTTGGATCGCTCGGCGCTCGCAAGGTGGGAGATGTTACGGTGGTTTTTGATAGATGAGGGTCTATGAGGCTACTGATGCTGTTGTTCTCTTCTTTTGTTTCGGAAAGAATTACATTTAGAATCTTTGAAATTTATCATTTAATTAATTAGATCCTCTAATATTTAAACTATTAAACACAGACCTTTAAAGTTTGTAAGCGCATAACAGTTATAAATATATCTGTTAATACATTATACCCAGTAAAAATATTTTAATCAAAGATAAAATATCAAATATTTTAAATTTTATAATTAAAATTTATATTTTATTATATCATTTATTAAAATAAAATTAAATATTCAATTTTTTCTTAAAAAATCATTATTAATAGACAATTACATTGTCTATTAAAATTTAATTTGGTCGTTTAAACAACCAAATTAAAATATCAAACTATTCCAATTAAAACTAAAATATATTGTGTCAGTTATGACCCCTTGTTTAATTTTTTAGTTTTATTTTGATAGATAGTATAATTATATACTAACTATAATTTTTTTTTTAAAAAAATTAGATTTTTTTTTTGATTTTATTTCAATAAATGACATAATAGAACAAGAATTTTGAATGTAAAATTTGTGTTCTATTATAAATGACTTAAACCTCTTGTTTGATTTTTTTTGTTTTATTTCAACCGATAGTATAATTATATATTAATTACAGTTTTTTAAGATTTTTTTTTTTTAATTTTATTTTAATAAATGATACAATAGAACGTGAATTTTAGTTGTAAAATTTAAAATATTTAATATTCTATCTTTAATTGTAGTATTTTTGCTTTAAATATAATATTTGAAGTTTAAGGGGTCTAAGTATTATATACTTACAAATTTCAATGAATTTAAATATAATTTATTAACGAATATATTTATCCCAAGGTCTGAGTGTTAGGGACGTACAAATTTTAGAGGGTTTGTATGTAATATTTTAAATGTCAGGAGTTTAAATAATTACGTGACAAATCTCAAATAATTTGGATATAATTCTCCCTTTTTTCGTATTGTGTTCTTTCACGCCCCACTCAACTGTCAATTTTTTGGTTCAAAAAAAAAAATCAATTTTTGAAAGATAGAAATGCCTTTTATCNACATTGGGGGTCAAACCCAAAAAAGCGATGAGATCCCAAATGAATATGAAAATTTAGCATTACAAAAATAAGAACGATGAAATAGCAAATCCACATTGGGGGTCAAACCCAAAAAAGCGATGAGACCCCAAATGAATATGAAAATTTAGCATTACAAAAATAAGAACGATGAAATAGCAAATCCACATTGGGGGTCAAACCCAAAAAAGCGATGAGACCCCAAATGAATATGAAAATTTAGCATTACAAAAATAAGAACGATGAAATAGCAAATCCACATTGGGGGTCAAACCCAAAAAAGCGATGAGACCCCAAATGAATATGAAAATTTAGCATTACAAAAATAAGAACGATGAAATAGCAAATCCACATTGGGGGTCAAACCCAAAAAAGCGATGAGACCCCAAATGAATATGAAAATTTAGCATTACAAAAATAAGAACGATGAAATAGCAAATCCACATTGGGGGTCAAACCCAAAAAAGCGATGAGACCCCAAATGAATATGAAAATTTAGCATTACAAAAATAAGAACGATGAAATAGCAAATCCACATTGGGGGTCAAACCCAAAAAAGCGATGAGACCCCAAATGAATATGAAAATTTAGCATTACAAAAATAAGAACGATGATATAGCAAATCCAAACAAAACCTGCGTAACACAAGATCTAAAATGAGCAATCCAAACATTACCAGAGGAAATACCACCATAATCACACAAAATATGGAAAGAACAAACATAAATTTTGAGCAAAACTAAATGACTAAACAGAACCCTGACAAAATACTATAAAATTTTCAATAAACTGCCAAAAGGGTTTGTTCATTTTTGAGAGTAAAGTAGTCTGACCTCTTTGGCGGAGAGCTCAGAGGAGTAGGGAAGAACAAAATTGACAGTAAGCTTAGAGGGGATCGAGGAAGGAGTCGCAGGGCGGGGAACCATGAAGGCGAGAGGGGTCTTGGGTGGCTCCATGTTGGGCATCGCCTTCTTCCATGCACCCACGAAGGCCTCATCGGCCGCCGGAAACGTCGGAAGGTCGGTGGAGAATGGGCTAGCTTTGGTCCTGCCGGCGGCGGCGGTCGTGGATCGGTATAGGAGGCGAGTGGTGGCTTGCCGGAACATGGTTGGTGGTTGGATCGCTCGGCGCTCGCAAGGTGGGAGATGTTACGGTGGTTTTTGATAGATGAGGGTCTATGAGGCTACTGATGCTGTTGTTCTCTTCTTTTGTTTCGGAAAGAATTACATTTAGAATCTTTGAAATTTATCATTTAATTAATTAGATCCTCTAATATTTAAACTATTAAACACAGACCTTTAAAGTTTGTAAGCGCATAACAGTTATAAATATATCTGTTAATACATTATACCCAGTAAAAATATTTTAATCAAAGATAAAATATCAAATATTTTAAATTTTATAATTAAAATTTATATTTTATTATATCATTTATTAAAATAAAATTAAATATTCAATTTTTTCTTAAAAAATCATTATTAATAGACAATTACATTGTCTATTAAAATTTAATTTGGTCGTTTAAACAACCAAATTAAAATATCAAACTATTCCAATTAAAACTAAAATATATTGTGTCAGTTATGACCCCTTGTTTAATTTTTTAGTTTTATTTTGATAGATAGTATAATTATATACTAACTATAATTTTTTTTTTAAAAAAATTAGATTTTTTTTTTGATTTTATTTCAATAAATGACATAATAGAACAAGAATTTTGAATGTAAAATTTGTGTTCTATTATAAATGACTTAAACCTCTTGTTTGATTTTTTTTGTTTTATTTCAACCGATAGTATAATTATATATTAATTACAGTTTTTTAAGATTTTTTTTTTTTAATTTTATTTTAATAAATGATACAATAGAACGTGAATTTTAGTTGTAAAATTTAAAATATTTAATATTCTATCTTTAATTGTAGTATTTTTGCTTTAAATATAATATTTGAAGTTTAAGGGGTCTAAGTATTATATACTTACAAATTTCAATGAATTTAAATATAATTTATTAACGAATATATTTATCCCAAGGTCTGAGTGTTAGGGACGTACAAACTTTAGAGGGTTTGTATGTAATATTTCAAATGTCAGGAGTTTAAATAATTACGTGACAAATCTCAAATAATTTGGATATAATTCTCCCTTTTTTCGTATTGTGTTCTTTCACGCCCCACTCAACTGTCAATTTTTTGGTTCAAAAAAAAAAATCAATTTTTGAAAGATAGAAATGCCTTTTATCTAAATTATCCTGAACTCCAAATTCAAACGTCTTGAGAGATTTATTCTTCATGATTATTCTAATTTCGGAATGAATAATCTACCTTTAACTAAACCGAAGAATAAATTAATTGAAATACGTGCATGTAAACTTGAATACTTCAGACCGTTGAACAAAAAAAAATAAAAAACTATCCCGTGGATAATGCTTACGTACCAAAAAAAAAATGTTTTCCAAAGTTATTATTTATTGATGTTAATTAATTACAACTTTTATTTTTATATTGATCGTAATATTTTAATATCGAAATCTTTTACGAATGTAATTTTTATGTCAAGTCATTGTACATTGACCTTAAAAATTATGATATTGTAGTCTTCTTCCAAGTTTGTATAAACCTATTGATGGGTCAAGTTCATATGACTCAATCTATGTGAAAAGTCTAAATTCTAATTGAGGAGTTCAATCTCATTAAAGATCCATCAAGCCCAATGTTACAACTTTAGAATTGATCACCCAAGTGCAGGTTGTGCGAAATAATAAATTTTTCGGGAGTCCGAGTTCGAACTACAAGGAATTGAAAAAACAAGAGACACAAAACAAATAAAAAGCAAACTTGTAAGAACAATTTATTTAAGAAATTGTTGAGTTGAAAAAATATTGATTGGAGTAATTAAAACAATATAATAAAAATACTAGAGCATCAGGTACTCCCTCTCAATTCCATACAATAATGATTAAAAAATTAAATCTTAATTTGAGACAAGAATCAGATGTCGGTTGATTCAAATAACAAATTAAGTAAAAAAACCAAAAGTTATATTAAAATATTATTTAGGAATCTGAATAATCATCCAATTATATTATTTTATGAAATAATGATAATTACCTTAAGCATGAAATAACCAATTATTTACTCGCAGGGAAATTCAAGCAATCGATGTACATGACACAACAACTCAAGGATTTTTACAGAGCAAAAATTTTGCTATAAGATCAGAAGTTAAATTGACAAAATATCATAAATCATTAAATTTAGAATCAATAACATTACCGAACTTCATTGAGAGGTTCTCCTCTAACCCTAGCTTAGCCTTCTAGCCAGACATAACAAACTAAAACTAGAAAGAAAATATGAGAAAAAGAATTATATCCTAAATCCTAGATGAGAACCCCTATATATACTAAAAATAAATCCTAAGTATAAGTAGAAGATATAAGGTTGTTTTGTAATGAATTCTTTTCCAAAAAGAAATCTTGTAAGGTTAAATTCCGCGAATAAAATCTTTGGGGTGCGGGTACAAAATCTGTCCAGACTTCGAATTTGAATTTCACATATTTAGAGGTTGAATTATGAAAATTTCGTGAAATACATTTTTGTATCCCTTAGAGTCTTCTTTCCAGCCCCCAAAAATCAAGTAAATCGGAAATCAGAGTCAAAAGTTATGACCAGAATACTGAAGACGTGTCAAATCCTTATTCTTCTAGGATACTTTCCTAATCCAACTTTAAATGAGTTTTCTTTTATCTTGGACTCTTATAAGAATTAAATTGTCATCATATCTTCAAGTCTTCCTATTCAATCTTGACTCTTCAATCCTTATCAATTGCGATTCTTTCTCTAGTGA